TTTTTTTTTTTTTAAAAAAAAAAAAAAAAAAAAAAAGTTTTTATTTATTTATTATTATTTCAACGAATTTAAAACGAAAAATTAAAAACAAGCGCCGCGCCAATAACAATGGCAGACTTTTTATTAAAACGTATTGCTGAATGGAGTAGCAATAATGCTCCAAAAACGGATAAATACCCGTCACCTCCTTCTTCACCTGAACCAAACCCCGCAATGTCTCTAAAACAACAATTTTATCAAGACTCTTCTAGAGTCTCCCCAAAAACTGGATCTTCTCGTGGATCAGATAATACTTTCGATAACGTTACACAGACTCCAATCGCTGGTCGTCTTATAGTTACAATTGTTGAGGGTCAAAAACTTAACGTTAGTAATTATCAATCACTTCCATACTGCGTATGCGAATTCGAACGCAATGAAGTTGTTACTCGCGAAGCGATGAGAGATAGTGATTTACCTAATCAAAGGGGTAAACCAATGGACTTTTTGGATCTCGTCCGTGCTGCTACTTTTCCCGTCTGGAAGCATAAAGTTGTCATGTAAGTTTTTAATTAATTATCTTTGAAAAATCTTTTTTTTAAATTTGGTTAATTTTGATCTAAATTTATTTTATTATTATAATAATAGCGACGTTGCACGTCTTGATAGTAAAGTACACGTATCCGTTTATGAGCGTGTACATAATAATGCTCAATCTGAAAACTTTCTTGGAATGTTTAAAGTTCAACCACCAAGAAGACCTAATCAAACCATTGATGCTTGGTTCAAGTAAGTAATAATATATTACATACTTACATATATATATATATATATATACATACATATATATATATGCAATGAAGTTATTTAATATATTATATACACATATACTTAATATCTTTTATTAACTTTATTAGATTATCACCAAGAGGTAAAGAAAATGTAACTGGAGAAGTTCGCGTTCAAATCTCTTATGAAAAAATTGAGGTATATATTATATTATTATACTTTTATAAAAATATTTTTTTTTTCAAAAACATTCATTCAATTGTATTAATATCTTTTTCTTTTTTTAATTTTTTTTTTTAATTAGAAATCTCACTTAAAACCTGCTTCATTTGAGATCCTAAAGTTGATTGGAAAAGGAAACTTTGGCAAGGTTTTCCAAGTCCGTAAAAAGGACACTAATCGTATTTATGCAATGAAAGTTCTTCATAAACAAGATCTAATTGAACGTCGAGAGGTAGAACATACATTAGCCGAAAAAAATATTCTTATTCAAGCCGAAGCCTGCCCGTTTTTGGTTGGACTTAAATTCTCATTCCAAACCCGTTCTCACCTTTACTTGGTTACCGATTTTATGAACGGTGGAGAATTGTTCTTCCATTTACAAAATGAAGTTAGACTTAGCGAAGAACGTGCCAAATTTTATGCAGCTGAAATAGTCTTGGCTTTAGAACATTTACATAAATATAACATCGTCTACAGGTAAATTAATTTTTTTTTTAAAAAAATTTTTAATCACATGATATTTCTCCTGTCACGTGACTAACAATTTATTTTTACAATACATTTTTAGGGATCTTAAACCCGAGAATATTTTGCTTGATGCTACTGGTCATATCGCTCTCTGCGATTTTGGTTTATGTAAAGAAAACCTTGCCACAGGTCAAACAACAAACACCTTCTGTGGTACCTCAGAATATCTTGCACCCGAAGTCTTAGCAGAATGTGGATACGGTAAATCTGTTGACTGGTGGAGTTTAGGAATTTTATTTTATGAAATGATTGCCGGTTTCAGTCCATTCTATACAAATGATACTCAACTCATGTATCGAAGAATCTTATTCGGAAAACTTAAATTCCCCAAAGGTTTCTTCAGTGATGATGCAAAGAGCTTAATCAAAGGTCTTTTAGCTCGTAATCCACATAGTAGACTCGGTTCACAAAATGATGCAGAAGAAATCAAAAATCACCCATTCTTCGCCAATGTTGATTGGGACGCATTGTACCGAAAACAAGTCTCACCACCTTTCAAACCAAATGTATCATCTGATGATGATGTTTCATGTTTCGATCCTGCTTTCACTGAAGAAGAGACTGGTATGGACTGGCCTGTATCCAGAAATGTAAGCAAAAATGGTACAAATGTCTCAGTAAATAGCGAAATCAATGATGCCTTTGGCGGTTTCACATATTCTGGAGAATCAACAACTCACAGCGGTATTACTTCACTTGGGTGTGGATTTGAGGTTCCAGATCAAAATACTTCCTCCGGTGCTGGTAATTGGAGACTAGATGACTTGAGGTGTTAAACACTCTTACTCTCTACAAAAAAAAAAATTATTTTAGAATCAAAAAATAACATTTGTCGTTAAAAAAAAAACGACTCAAAATTTGAAATATATATTTATAATTGAACATTGTAATATATTCTCCTTTTTCTTTTCTTTTTCTTTTTTTTTTTCCCCGAACTTTTGTGTAAAAAATTCTTTTCTATTTCTTTTTTTTTAAAATCGACTACCTCTAATACCTTTCTTTAATTACTCTCTTCTTAAAATTATATGTTCGTTTCCTCATATTGTGGTAACGAAAAAAAAAAAAATTAAGATTTACAAAGTAAGGTCCTTATCATGTTATATTTTTCTTTTTTTGAGAGTTGGCACTTTCCTAAATTAGTGTTAACTCAAAAAAGGGAAGAAAAAAAAACTTGTTTAAAGCCTTCCTTAACAACATTAAGATCCAAAAAAATTATGAACTTTTTATTTTTTTTTTTACTCTTTTATGTACAGTCGATTTTTATTTCCACTTTTTTATGTGGAGTCTCCTTTCCTTCATACCTTTTGTATTAGGAAAACAAAATGTATATATGTTGTTTTAGTATATATTATATGCGGCGGGGTGAAATAATCTCTTAATTTCTGGAACTCTTGAACTAACGACCTTCAACAACAATCTTGGAATATACCTGCAGAATATTCTTTGGTTTTGTTCTTTTTCACCTTTGTTCAACAAAAAAAAAACCTTGTGAATTTCTCCTTTTCCTATTATACCGGTACATATATTTGATATATATTTACTAAGGTTTCCTTTCTCTTAATGACAAAAAAACAAATTTTCTTTAATTATTTTTCGGGGATACTTTTTAACTTGGGAAAAAAAAAAAAAATTTCTTTTTTTTCTTCTTTTTTT